CGGCTGGCCGGCTCGGGCGGCGCCTGGGTGGGGGCGGCCGTGGCGGCGGCAGGAGGCGCGGGCGCGGCGGGCGTCTGCGCGCTGACGGCGGGGGGCGCGGCGGGCCGGGCGGGCGAGCGGGGAAAGATGGCGGAGCTGGGTAAGAAGTACTGCGTGTACTGCCTGGCCGAGGTGAGCCCGCTGCGCTTCCGCTGCACCGAGTGCCAGGACATCGAGCTGTGCCCCGAGTGCTTCTCGGCCGGCGCCGAGATCGGCCACCACCGCCGCTACCACGGCTACCAGCTGGTGGACGGCGGGCGCTTCACGCTCTGGGGGCCCGAGGCCGAGGGCGGCTGGACCAGCCGCGAGGAGCAGCTGCTGCTGGACGCCATCGAGCAGTTCGGCTTCGGCAACTGGGTGAGCGGAGGCCGGCGGGCGGGCGGGACCTGGGCGCCCGGCAGGTGTGCGCGGGGCCGGCCTCGGGGGCCGGGCGGCCGGGGCGCCCTGGGAGCCGCGCGGGCCTGCTGTCTCCGGTGCCTGTCCCGTCCTGTGTGCGCGCTGGGGGTGTCCGCGGGCGCCCTGAGGGTCGGCCATGCCCAGGCGCTGCGGCCCCGCGACACCCAGGACACTGTGCGATGAATGGCCAGTAATGATGAACAAAGGCGCCTGCACTGGCAGGCACGGGCCCCAAGGTCTGCCCTGCTCTGTCAGAAGGTTTCCGTAAAGACGCGTCTGAGAGAGAAGGTGAGAGCTGGGCTGGACTCCGTACACTGTCCGTCGTGCCCCAGGCTCTCTTGGGGAGAGCAGAGCGTTTCTTTAGGTTTCAGAGGAGCTCTCTGCCCACTGCTTATCCATACCAGAAAAGAAGAATAAAAGTCTCTGGCTGCATTGTCACCAAAACCACCAAGGATGTGCAGCCACCTTCAGGCTTTCTGAGAAGTAGGGAAGCGACACTGGACCCCTAATGGCTCTTCCCCCACAGTGCTGCTCTCCTGCCTCCCACCTGCTGCTTTCATCTCCTCTTGCTTTCCTCAAGACCATTCTGCAGCCTTGGAATCTGTTCTTATAATTCATTAGGAAAGAAGTTGCTCCACAAATTACTACCTGATCACCACCCTCCAGACACCTCTGCCTCACTTTGTCCTCACGTGCTGTTTGTGGTTGCACATTGAGCATCTGCTTTGTGCAGAGCGGACACTGGTGAAGGATCCTGAAGGGGAGAAGCCCTCAACCTTGCCTTCAGGGAGCTTATGGTAGTGTGTTCATTTGCTCTAGGCTTCTGCCTTCTGGTTCCCTGCTGACCTACACAGTGACCTGGACTCAGCGCCATGCTCATCACTCAGGTTGCAGCTGACACCCGTCGCGAATGCCTTCTTCCACGCCTAGTTCATCAGCAGCCCCCTTTTCAAAATATGTGCAGAACCTAACCCCACTTGGGACCCTAGTGCAGGCTGACCTTCACCCCTCTGCTTGTCTCCCTGCTTAGTTCTCACCTCATCTCACACACACAATCAGTGATATCTTAAGCACAAGTCACGTCTCATGGGCCCTGGTGGTTTCCAGGTCTACTGGGATTTACCTCACTGTCCACTAGGCCATCCAGTGTCTCTGGACCACTGGAGCCCCACTGGTTACCCTGATTCTTTTTCTTTTTTTCTGCACGGAGTGTGCTACCTCCAGCGATGGCTCGAGACTGAGCTCTGCTTAAATGAGTGCCTCAGAGAGACCCATCCTGGCTGTCATTCTTCCAGCACTTATTGCCACAGTATACCTGGGGACACTGAGCGCTGCAGAGTGCCCTGCTCCGAGTGGAGCACTTTGTATGCAGCTCTTGAAATCTTCTCAACAGCCACAGGTTTGGGATGCTCAGGACAGCTGGGGCCTTCTAACAGTCCTTTTCAAACTAATGCACTGGGAAGCTTGTTAGAATGCAGATTTTGGCTGGAGTAGACTGCATTCTTCTTAGCCCAGGAGGAAGGGCCTTGGGACTTGCTGCTCTTAGTGTAGGCTTGGCCTTGCCACTTGCTGGGCTCCGGCAGGCCTGAAGTGCTGCCTTGCTAACAGGCCACAGGTGCTGCCCAGGACAGCACTAGTTCCAACACTGAGTAGGAAGCGCCATTATTTCTCCAGCTGTGTCGTCTTGGGCGGTTGTTTCCCTCCGTAGGCTTCATTTTTCTTCACCTGAGGCTCTTTCACAGTTTGCACGTGTGGTTCTCTTTCAAGTGTTTATGCTGATCCGTGCCCAAAAGTCCTATGCTGCACTTGGGACAGCAGGCCATGCCGGTTCTGTACGGGCTCTTCCTGTATGTAGCTCATGTGATCTGAACAGTTCTTATTCCTAATTTATAGTTGAAGAACAGCAACTGTGAGACTGAGCTGCTTGTCCAGGAGTCCACAGCTTTGCGTGCAACAGGGCCAGGTTTGAGCTCAGGCCTGCTGACTGCAGCCAGGGCCTTCCCATGGTTTAAGAGCATTAAGTAATGTGGGTCGGAGGCCCAAAGCTATTGATAGGGCTGGAGGTGTGGACAGGCTGGAAGGGCTGTCCTGCAGCCAGACTGGGGCCTGCTTCAGGGAGAGATTTGAACCAGGGAGGTGACTGGGTGAGGGCAGGAGCAGGTCCAGGGGCTGGGGCTGGATGTGGAAAGAGGCATTGTGGGCATCAGGGAGAGCGAAGAAAAGATGAGGCCCATGTAGCTCTGGTTTCAGATGGCAAGTGGGGAGACGGCCCCGGGCTGTGGCCCCGGGCTGTGTGTTCAGTGTGGAGCTCTAGGTGGGGTGAGCCAAGAAGGCAGGGTTGGGGTGTTGCTGAAGTCTGGCAGCTGAGGCGGGGGAAGGGGGGCGGCTGAGGGGAACGAGGTGTATCTGAGGAATGTCAGCCATTGACCCAGGAGGGTTTGGGGATAGTCATGGTCATGGTCTGGCACGGGTGTACCCATGTGTTGGACAGTGGGGGGGGGGGCGTAATGTGGGATGAGACCTTGGCAACAATGGGGAAGAACTGGCCAACAGACAGTGACCCCGTGGGTCAGTCCACTGGGCACTGAAGGTCTCCAGGTAGCTGGTGGGTTCCACAGGTTCAGAGTTGGAGCACAGGGACACCTCTGGAACACAGTCACAGAATTTCAGGACAATTGGAGACTTCACTGGAAGAGCCACGGCTTTGTTGGTTATCCCAAGTCCCTGAGTGTTGCTGAGGAGGCTAATGGAGGAGGTCCCACCTCTGTGGACTACATTCAGGGGCCTTGGGAAATGGGGCTCAGGCTGGCTCTGCAGGGTTTGGATCAATGAGATGAGCAACTGGGAAGGGCCTGGTGGCCTGCATGGTACACTCAGGTTTGTCCTTGGAGGCAGGCAGGATGTCCTGAGTCCGTCACGTTTGCCTTTCCTGCTGGGCACTGCCCTATAGTGGGTCACGGCGTCGTACACTCACTCATCTGCCAACTGGCGCTTGCTCAGTGCTACTGTGTCAGCCCCTCCAGAGACACTGCTAAGAGTGACAGCCTGCGAGCTTTCAGGGGCTGTGTGGTGAGCCACAGTTCTTGTCCTGAGCTGGCCAGATGGAAAGGCAGTGAGTGGAAGGAGCTGTTCTGCGTTCTAGGAGTCCGATGTATTTGGGGAAAGGGAGGACTGGAGATGGAGACTCTGTCCCCATGGGGCGGGCAAGGAAGGCAGGTGAGCTTGTGTGCAGTTAGGGTTTGGGCTGGGATTTTGGAGCTGCTTCCTGCTCCTGAGGTACAGGCGTGAGTCCATGTGCTGACATGAGCTCCCCTTGCCCCCACCCTGAGGCCAGATTCTCCCTTTTACAAACGAGGTAACTATTGTGGGTGCTGAAGGATGGGGCAGAGCTGGAGTTTGGGTCCAGGTCTTCTCCCTGCTCTGTGATTTCCCTGACAGCACAGCCAGAGGCCACCAAGCCCAGGGCCCAGCCTGGATGCTGACCTGGCCTCTCCAAGGCTCAGATGGAATCTTCAGTATTTATAAAAAGGATCTCACGAGCTCTGAGGCAGCTGGGCCCTTCCAATTCTCTCTGGGCAGAAGGCTGCTTTGGGAGCAGGTGATCTCCAGCCCATAAGTGTCCTGATAGTGGGTTTGTAGGACTTGCTTTAAGGAAAGGCTGGAGGGAAGATCTTGGGTGGGGAAAGGGGCTAAATTTAATAGGGCCAAGCACACTTCAGTGTGCATCGGATCATCCAGGAGGCCTAGCTGAACACATCTCGTGCCACACATGTGAGTCAGCGATATTTCCTGCAACTTCCCAGGCTGGTCAGCAACCCTTCCTTAAGAGCCACTGAGCCAGGCATGGTAGAACATGCATGTAATCCCAGTGATCTGAGGAGACTGAGACAGGAGGCTCTCAAGTTTGAGGCCAGCTCAGCAACTTAGTGAGATCCTGTCTCAAAACAAAAATTAAAAAGGGCTGGGGGTGTAGTGCAGTGGTGGAGTGCCCTGGCCTCCAGTACAGGAAAAGGGAAAAAAGCAAAAACCACCAAGGTAGAACAGGAAGATGTTTCTCTTAAAAGAAACTGTTAGGCAGGGTGGGTAGCACATGCCTGTAATCCAGCGACTC